TCCTCCTCAAGTTGCTTTTGGTCAGTATCCCATCACAACAACAGAAATCAAACTAGATAAAAAAAAAAAAAAAGAATTTTTTAAAAATCTCCTATTACATAAATGGTCACACATGGAGTCATGCTGCTCTACCACTTTTGACACCCTCACTTTTTGCTTCCAAGAGGCTATCAATATGCTCTGGGTCCTGAAGAGCCTTCTCAAGACAGGAGAGTGGGAACACTTGTGCACTGTAGTGGTGTGAGCGAGAACGGCCCCCACAGGCCCCCACATTTTGTCCCAAGTTGGTGGCACTGTTTTGGAGGTCTTAGAAAGTATGGCCATACTGGAGGAAGCATGTCCCTGGGGGTGGGCTTAGAGAGCTCTGGGGGTGCCAGATCTCTAGTCACTCTCTGCTTCCTGTGCCTGCTTAAAGATGGGAGTGTTTAGCTTCTGCTCCTCCTCCAGCCACCCCTGCCGCCATGCCTCCTGCTGTGACAGACTCTTGCCCCTTTGGAACCATAAGCTAAATCAACTCTTCCTTTTTATAAGTTCCTTTGGTCACGGTGTTTTATCACAGCAACAGAAAAGTAACTACGACAGAATCAGTACCAGGATGGGGTATTGCTGACTTTGGGGTTTGGGGGAGGATTGTGAAAGCATTTGGAACCTTGGGCTGGAAAAGCCATTGAAGTGCTTAAGAGTTTGCTGTTGTGGAGCTTTGAACAGTTATGCTTAAAGAGTTGTAAATGATGGTGGCCTGGCTTGTGAAGCTTCAAAGGGAAGCAGAGACTATCAGGGCTGTTTGTGATACTGGGAATAGAGAATCTGTGGGTTCTGGTCAGCTGGGGCTGAAGAATCAGCTGTGATTAAGAAGAGACCAGAACCTGAAGTAAAACCTTTGCTTTACTGGGACAATTGAAGCTGGTTAGCTGGGACTGAAAAATCAGCTGTAAGTAACAAGAGACCAGCATCACTGTGGTGAAATCTTCTGGGGAATATTTCCTCAGGGTCAGCACACAGAAGCTATGGTCCGGCCCATACCTTCATTTCAAGCTGGAAATAGGACTTAGTAATGTGTAAGAGTCTCCTGCATGGTTCTGGTGTTGAAAGTGTAAAGGGGTCACAGAGAGCAGCTGAGGCTTGGCACGCTGAGAGGCCAGGAAAGGCCACAGGTGAAAGTGCAACTTCAGTTGCAGTGAAGACCCCAGGATTGAAGGGCTCATGGAGAGAATCTGAGGCTTTTGCACCCTGAGAGGCCAGAAGAGCCCATTGGTAAGGGTGCAGCCTCAGTTTCAGTGGAGAACCAGACATTTTAGAGATGCCAGGACCATAGGACAACTACCAAGGGCAGCAGCAGGTATGGAATGGAGCTGGCCTAGGTCTGCGAGACAAGCTGTGTGTGCTGTGGACAGCAGAGTCAGAGCAGTGGAGCTGCTAAAACCCTTTGGAGCCCAGAAGATCGTGAGTGAATCCCAGATGTGCAGTATTAAGCTACTTTGCTGGACTTGGGTTTTGCTTAGTTGCCTGAGTCTTCCCTTTGAAATAAAACAGTACTTAACTTGTTTTTTATTTTGGAGGAGCCCACAGTTGAGAGATTTTAAAAAGAGATATTGGACTTTTAAAAGTGTTTGAGGGATTTTTTAAAGAACCGTGGGACTTTTAAAGTTGTACTATCTTATGTTGTGATATTAACATCATACTTTGGGGATAAGAAACGGAAAGCTTGTGATTTCATAATGACATGCATGTGTGTCAAAATGACAAGGGGTCATCTGTGCTGGATAGCTTTAGTGCCAACTTGACACACCTGGGTTGAGGGAGCCTCACTTGGGGAATTGCCTCCATTGGACTGTCCCGTGGCCATGTCTATGGGGCATTTTCTTGATTGTTGAGTGATGTGGGAGGGCCTGGGCCCAGCCCACTGTGAGTGGTGCCACCCCTGGGCAGGTGGGCCTGTGTTGTATAAAAAATCAGGCTGAGCAGGGGTCATGGAAGCAGTGTCCCTCCACGGCCTGTGCTTCAGCTCCTGCCTCCAGGTTCCTGCTGAGTTCCTACCTTGGGTTCCCTCAGCAATGAACTGTGACTCTGGGGATATAAACTAAATAAACCCTGCCCAGCCCACTGTGAGTGGTGCCACCCCTGGGCAGGTGGGCCTGTGTTGTATAAAAAATCAGGCTGAGCAGGGGTCATGGAAGCAGTGTCCCTCCACGGCCTGTGCTTCAGCTCCTGCCTCCAGGTTCCTGCTGAGTTCCTACCTTGGGTTCCCTCAGCAATGAACTGTGATTCTGGGGATATAAACTAAATAAACCTCCTCCCCAGTTTTGTATTGGTCAGAGTGTCGTGTCACAGCAACGGAGAAACAAACTAGAACAGGCACTGAAGGCAAATCTGGACAGGTCTTGCCCATGACAGAGAGCCTCCCTCCTACCCCTCAGGCAGCAATAAAATCATGATGTCCCACTGAATCTTGGCCCTATTTCCCTGTCCTGTTCCCAGCTACCTATACACACTGCTCTGAGTATGCAGACCTGTTTCACGTGCCCCAAACTTTAAACAAAGTTATTCTTTTTTCCCTCAGAAAAGGAGCAGCTGACCTGCATTGACTCTCATCATACAGATAATTCTGCCATTTAGGGACATGTTTATCATAAGACAATACAATCAAATTACCATACTGCAGGCAAATTAGCATAATACCATCTCGGTGCCTGCAGGCTTAGGACAGTTACACAGGTCACCTGCTTGGATAGGGAGGAAATGATGGAGCTGGGAAGTTCAGTGCAGCTGTAGCCGGCGTCCCACAACCCCAAGCTTTCCCATGCCGGATCTTACTTAGGGAGCCTTTCACGTACGATGTTAAAAGCAATTCACGCTGTGGTGTGTCACTGAGATCCCCAGGTACAGGTATGGAACAAAAGGGAGGAAAGGTCACCTGGCAGGTGGTTGGTCTGGGGCTTGGAAAAGAGATTCCAGTCACAGCAGCATAGAGGGGATCTGAAAGTGCTGATTCTTAAAATGCCAGCTGGGATGGGAAGCAGAGTGGTTCAGAAAAGTGCTAGCTGAAACACAGGGCGCCACGGGGCTGGTGAGACCATGGCGCTGCAGACACATAAGAATATTTTGTCGTATTTGTAAGATTTGTTTTTTTTTTTTTTGAGACAGGGTCTCCCTGTAGCCCCAGCTGTCCTGGAACTCAGGCTGGCCTTGAACTCACAGAGATCTGCCTGGCTCTGCCTCCCGAGTGCTGGGATTAAAGGCGTGCGCCACCACATCCAGCAAGATTTTTTTTTAATATTTTATTTATTATTTTTATTTTATGTATATGTTTGTATTGCCTGCATTTACATAAGTGCACCCATGTCATGCAATGCCCACAGAGGACAGAAGAGGATGTCGAATCCCCTGGGACTGGAGTTACGGACAGTTGTTAACTGCCATGTGGGTGCTGGGATCTGAACCCGAGTCTTCTGCAAGAACAGCCAGTGTTCTTAACTGCTGAGCCATCTTTCTAGCCCTGATATATATATATATATATATATTAAACTTGAGATAAAGTCTCACTCTGTAGCCCAGACTGGCCTGAATCCCATATTGTGACCCAGGCTGGCCTGAATCCTATATTGTGACCCAGGCTGGCCTCAAACTCACAATTCTCCTACCTTAGTCTCTGCCTTTTAGTGCTGGGCTTACAAACATGCACCACCACATCTGGTCAGAAGGACATTTTAAAGAAACTGTATTTATAAATATGCACAAGTGGTAGAAGTATGCTTTTATAATAATAGAGACTTGAATATACACATCAAGCTAAAGCTAAAGGTCTTCCTATGATCAAGGAGTGACTCTGGCCCACATTCTCCGACGAGTATGCACCTGACTAGGTGACAGAGTTCTGAATGGAAGTGGTTATGGCTACGCTCTATGTAGCTCTTTGAATGTGCTGTGCCTTGTGCCTCAGTGTCTCCTCCATGCTCAGGCCTCTGCTAAGGTCTGGCAATATCACTTTCTCCATCCCACTAACAGATGCTCTATGCAATTTAAAATCAAGACAAGCACCTCATGTCCCAAGAAGCCATCCACAATCAAACCAGGCTGAGTGAGATCCTCCTCTGAGCTCTCTGTGCCCAGCACCCATCTCTCCAACATGTGCCTGCCTTTGGTGCCTATATGTCCACTTGCCTGTCGGACCATGAACTGCTGAAGGCTCAGGAATGCACTTACACTGCTGACGCCCCACAGCCCACCCTGAAGTATGACCTGCGTTGAGAAGTCCTATAGATATGCAATGGGTAAAATAACAATGCATTGCTTATCCGTGTGGATTTGAACAAGTGAAAGGGTAGTGTAGAGAGACCTTCAGACAGTCCCCTGCTTACTCAGGAAGACATCCCCTCTCAGAAAACGTCACCTTTCCAGGACTGTGGTTGCTGGTCGATTGAGAAAAAGATTGCCTAGATTCACTCATTGCCCTCTTCCTGCTGGAAACACAGCTAGGTGACATTCTTTCTCCGCCCTCCCCTCTCATGAATGTTGCTAGAATTTGGTGTGCATAAATTCCCAGTCTCCAGGACTGGCCCATAACATTCTCCCTTCATCTCCTCTTCCCCCTCCCCCACTTCCCATGCATATACAGCTTTGGAGAACAGAGAGGTAGGTTAGAATACAAATCCCTGAATCACTGTGTGGACCAGAAATCACTCCACCCCTAGACTCCCATTAGACCATACTTTAAAGTTGAGGATCACTGCTATCCAATCTCACCAGTAACACGAGAAGACAGACCTCTGATTGGCCAGGTGAAAGTTAACATCTCTTGCAATTTCATCTAATCAGCATGTATTGAGGCCTGGCAGTGTGGACCATACTTAAGAGGTGTCTCTGAATGATTAGCCAACTCTCAAAGGTCTCACACTTTGAGAGTTGGCTGAGGTGACCAGAGAGTCATACAATAAAAATTCCACAGGACTTTTTCTAAGTCTCACCTGTGCCATCCTCAGTCTGCTTGGATAAGCACTCACCTTGGTTCCTAGAGGACCAGGTAACCCAGGTGGCCCACGCAGTCCCTGTTGAAATGAATAACACAAGGAGAGTGACGAAACCGTAAGTTCTGAGTCATCCCTCTGCACCGGGTACTTGCCGCTGCTGGTATAGGGCAGACACAGAGGGAACTACCTATGACTTGACTGTACACAGTCATCGGCCCTGAGTGTGACTTCTAAGACTGGTTCCTCCCACCCCGGTATGTACATAAACAGATCTATGTTTTAGTATGCTTTTCTGTATAATATTTCATGGTAGAGGCTTACAAAAGGAAGTATCCAGATCAGGCTTCAAATACGCTCACCTGACTCTAAAGAGTAGTCTTGGGGCTGGAGAGATGGCTCAGTTGTTAAGAGCACTGACTATTCTAACAGATGGTTTGATTCCCAGCACCCATATGACAGCTAACAATCATCCTTAACTCCAGTTCCAGGGGGATCCAATGCCTTCTTCTGTGGGCATTACATGACATGGGTACACTTACATACAGGTAATATACTCATAAATATAAAATAAGGAAATACATAAGATATACAAAAAAGACTAGTCTCTTTTTTCTTTAACATGTTACAGAGCCTTGGGGATGGCCTATGAGAGAGACTTCCTCTTTTAATTCATAAGCTTTGTCTGATATGGTGGTCATGAAGAGACTTGCAATTCGAGTCTATTTTTGCAACTCCTGGGCAGGGGAGCCATCATGGACCAGGGAGCACCCATGACCCTGGGAACTCTAGAAATGGGCTCTTCCCCTGGATCATAGGTGTGCAGCCGCTGCTCTACACACACTATGCTGGTTAAGGGCATGGCAGCAGCCACATCAGCACCTGTGGCTTCACGCTCCATCGTTCAGTCTCCTGTGGCCAACCATAGGCTGAATATACCGAAAGGAAGGTTCCAGTAGCAGTCACAAGTTATAAATAACGTCCACTGAATACAGGTTGTAAGTGTTCTACCTCCTTACTGATATCCTTCTGTCATTCATCAACTGAACGTTCTCCTAATCCTGAATGTTCCATTTGTAATTTGTAAACTATGAACACCATACAGCATGCCAACTGCAGGACTGTAGACTACCCCTGGCTTCAGGCTCATGATTGATCGGAGGATATTCCCAACGATAAGGGCACACACTGAACCATAAACACCTCCTTCCCAGCCAGTCCAATTCATTGGCTGTGGCCCATTTTTCTGGAAGATTAGCAGTTAATCTTTATTTTACTCTTTGTCTTTTCTAGTTTTAGCCTGTCATCCCAAGGCTCAAAATCCCCACACCTGCCACTTACCGGTTCTCCATCCTTCCCCTTTCCAGGAGGCCCAGGAAGCCCTGGAGCGCCAGGATCGCCCCGAGGACCAGCTGGCCCTGGGCTGCCTTCCTCTCCTGCTGTTCCCTGGAGAGAAGAACAGACATTGTTGAGCACAGGGGTGGCGAGCAGAACCCAGCTTTCCAATGCAGAGTCAGCCCCCGCCTGCTGAGTAGTTTCCGGAGTTGCCCTGACAACTTTAAAACCTGTCCTTCTGGGGACAGTGGAAGATGGGTTGTAAAGTAGGTATCAGAGGTTGAAATCTACTACCTCAAATTTTCATGTTAAACTGCCTTTCCTGGCAAAGCTGGCACTAATCTTCAGGGCACATGGCCCCTCCCCAATGGAGAGGTGCAGGAAACCAAGTCGAGGCTACAAGCAGGTGACGGAGAAGGGGCTCTCCAAACCTAGGCTGTCAGCTTCCACCCTAGGCCGTCACAGACGTCCAAATAGAGGGTAGACTGTGGTTTCGGGAAATTATGCTTCTTTGCCGAGCCCTTGGCTGTCCAAACAGTCCTGGACCCAACTCAGACCCAGCACTTGCTCAGCCAAAGGGAAGGTGCTTGGCTCCCCCGGGTGGTCAAATATGTCAACAGCATGCCTTTCCCTGGGATCCCAATGCTCAACTGCTTAGTCCTCAGGAAACCTTCAACAATAACATGGTCCCCTTCTGGCTTGCTGACAACCTGACTACGTGTGGGAGCCTTCAGGCATGGGCCAATCAACAAATATCAGAAATATTTGGGATTTCTCCATTTTAAATTTAGGTGATCTGCTTGTTACTACAATCTGAGGTGTATTATCTTTCTTTTGAAAGAAAAAAGCATCAGCCAGACAAATAGAGGCAGGATTGCTGTAAGTTTTAGGCCAGCCTGGTCTACATAGTAAGTTCCAGGCCAGTGAAGGTGACACAGTGAGAGCCTGTTTCAACACACACACACATACACATACACACACACGCACACATACACACACACATGCACACACACACACGCACACATACACACATACACACACACACACGCACTCCATACCTGTACCACCTAGGGTTATTGAGTCTGTGGTCAACAGCCCACATGACAAAGGTATTTGCTACAACTTGATTTTTTTCTCTAACAGTAAATTTTCTGTGAAATGCATATTTTAAAATTTAGTCTTTTGTCAAAATGAAAACGACATCTTCTTATGCCTTTAATCCCAGCACTCAGGAGGCAGAGGCAGGTGGGTCTTTGTGAGTTCAAGGCCAGCCTGGTCTACATAGTGAGTTCCAGGACAGCTAAAAAGAGAACTGTGAAGAAAAAAAAAAAAAAAAAAAAAAAAAGAAAAAGAAAAAGAAAGAATTTCAATTCAAAGAATTTCAAAGATTGAAAGATAAAATGACTATTCCTTGGAAGGTTCCAGAAGAAGGTTCCAGAAAAACCACTCTTGGAGTGGCTTGAACATATAACCTCAGCCTGGGATACAGAGACAGTTTGGGATTATCATGGGCCACAGGATGAGATCCTATCTAAAAACTAAAGGTATATCTGGGCATCTGTGTGCTGGGAAAGGCCTCTGTGGATGAGCCACCCTGAGGAAACACAGCTGCCCATGTGGTGAGGAAAGAGCACACTGTCACGTCCTGCTGACATTCAGGATGGATGATGAGTGTGTGTACACCGGGGTTGGGGTGTCCTTCCCTGTCCATTGTAGAAGTTTAGGCAGCAACCCTGGTCTGTATCTACTACGCCTACAACAGCACTTCCCCCTGATGGCAACAACCAGATGTCAGGAGAGTGTGTGATTGTCCCCACTGAGAATCACTATTGTGAGAATCATTACTCTCACCCCAGTTCAGAGGCTCACAACTAGGACCTGGGAACTAGTTTTGAACAAAGCATGCAACCCTCTATCTTCCTTGGTCATTCAGATGGATTCAGATTTCTCAAAATCTGTCTCAGCATCACCAGGAAACACAAGACACTTCCAACAACGCATGGGTCCTTCCCTGTCCATTGTAGAAGTTTAGGCAGCAACCCTGGTCTGTATCTACTACGCCTACAACAGCACTTCCCCCTGATGGCAACAACCAGATGTCAGGAGAGTGTGTGATTGTCCCCACTGAGAATCACTATTGTGAGAATCATTACTTTCACCCCAGTTCAGAGGCTCACAACTAGGACCTGGGAACTAGTTTTGAACTAAGCATGCAACCCTCTATCTTCCTTGGTCATTCAGATGGATTCAGATTTCTCAAAATCTGTCTCAGCATCACCAAGAAACACAAGACACTTCCAACAATGCATGGTCAGAGCGACCTCCGGTGGAGACTGTACAGGGTGCCTCTCTCCTCCTCTGCCTCTAGACTGTTCCCAGTTCATGGAAGTTGGAGGCTTGTTTTCCTCTTCTTGCTGATGAATGCGATAGTTTCCCAGGCATTGGAAGGCTTCCCTGGCAATCATGGTGCTTGGTGGATATGAGAGAAAGTGGGAAGGAACCAGCCCCTCAGCTCAGCAGCCATGGATGTGGGGAGAAAAATTCTGCTCAGAGCTTCTGCCTCTTCCTCTGCCAAAGGGGGATTAATCCAGTCCCCAGTCCCAGTTCATGGAAGTTGGAGGCTTGTTTTCCTCTTCTTGCTGATGAATGCAATTGTTTCCCAGGCATTGGAAGGCTTCCCTGGCAATCATGGTGCTTGGTGGATACGAGAGAAAGTGGGAAGGGACCAGCCCCTCAGCTCAGCAGCCATGGATGTGGGGAGAAAAATTCTGTTCAGAGCTTCTGCCTCTTCCTCTGCCAAAGGGGGATTAATCCAGTCCCCAAGTATGCTGTGAGGCTTGGGGAGGTGAGACATGGTGTCCTCTCCCCTCTCCCTCTTACAGTCCCTTCTGATGTCTGGGCCCTAAACCAGTCCTCAGCCCTGTGAGCTCCTCACCTACTACCCAAGAGAAGCCCAGAACAGACACCTCATGCTGACATTGCACTGTTCTTACCTTCTCCCCTCGCTCTCCATCTTTCCCAGGAGGACCTCTGACACCAGCAGCACCCTGAAGGAGGTATTCATATGATCAGTTTGTTGATGGCCAGTGGCCCCCAGGGGTAAGCAATGTGCCCTTCATTCCTACTCCTCTGCTCCCATCCTGACAAATGTCTTGAAATCCATCTCCTCCCCTGAGTCTGGTCCTCACCTTGACATCAAAACTTTAATAACAGGAGTGGTCAGCCCAGTGTTCTGGCTCCCTTTGGTCTATGAGGTACAGGAGGGCAGACCCCAGGAGGGCACATCAGAAAGGTCAAAGCGGTCCCAAAAAACACAGACCCAGCATCAGAGACCCGCTTGCCCAGTGCCTGTGGCACCTCCTGCTCCCCTCACCCTGAAACAAAGCTCAACATTAAGAATTATTCTGCGGACACAGCAGTGGGGAGAAATAGGGGACAGGCAGCCAGAAACACCGAGCATCTAGAGCTCAAGCGAACCCAGTCCAGATGCCTGCACAGGCACCGCACCTTGGGGCACAGAGCTAGGGTACATTTTTCCTCATCATCCTAGAGCTGATTCCGGGGACAGTTCTGGACAGCTTCCTACAGCCAACTGGACACGACGCTCTTCAAAAACCAGAGAAAATGGGCTGACAGCAAAACTGGCTGAGGCTGACCATGCATGGTGGAAGACAAAGGCTACAGGCAAGGTTCCAGAAAGGTCTGCTACCACCACTTCCCTCATGGCTCAGTTTCCTTGTGCCTCAGTTTCCACCTGTATAATGGGGCCAGTAGCAGTATCTACCTAATAGGCTTTCTGTGTGGATAAAGTGAACTAACCAACATGTATAATGCCCTGGGAATCTAAATGCCCAGTGTCTGTCCTCTGAGTCACTTTGAATATTACCTGGAAAGGCTGGAGGAATGAACAAGCCTGCCCTAACCTATGGTAGAGGATAAATTCTCTACAGCCTGTGACTAAATATCATGTGTTTACTGAACAACATTAAAGTCTAAGTCAATGCTCATGTCCAATCACAAAACTGGTCCCTTGGAGGACACCTTAGGTCTCTATCCTGCTGAGGTAGACTCTCAGCAGGTCAGGTGATGTAGAACCTCAAAGACAAACTGGCCAAAACCTATCTCCTTTCTGCAGAAGAAAGAGCAGAGGCTGCAGAAGATGCTGGGCACGGTCTTAATGCCAATTGGTGGGAGAGCTGGGGTCGAATCCAGGTGTCTAACAGCCTCCGGGGACCTTTGACATCTTTAGGTTCATTTAGTTCTTCAAAGGCGAACTCTGATGTTGACTCCAACATCAGTGAAGTGTGGAGGTTCTCTGTAGTTCTACTAAGTCTGTCTACTGCCTAGAAGTTGGCTAACCTCCTGGGTGGCCCTCATTAGGACAGTGTTGTCCAGTGCTGCTCACACTGCCTTGGGGGTGGGTAGGAAGGGGGATAAGGAAGAGAGCAGATACCTCGGCCACAGCCCACACTGGAATCCCTGTCTACTCTGCAATGCTTACCGCGCTTCCCGGGGGGCCGCTGAGACCAGGGAGTCCGGCAGGTCCTGGAGCACCCTAGTCAAAGACAGAGCAATTGAGTAAGGTACCAAATAGCTATCCCCAGCTGCTCTCCACACGTTCCATACTCAGATCATCCTGATCACGTGGAAGAGTGTCCAACCCAACATCCACAGATAGCAGGGCACTACTCTCATTGAGAACCGTTGCATCCCAACTAGCCAGACTCCAGTGAGTGAGCTGGAGGAAGAGGGAACCACAGGACAGGAGGACTCTTTCAGTTCCTTGGGCCCTGGCACGAGTAAGGGAGTATAGGTTGCAGGGGCAGATGGGCAGAGAGGAAGGCCACTCATCATGCCCAAGGAGTGTGAGTGACATTCAGCCTTGATCCTACACATAGGGGGAGGAAGGCCTGGAGAGGGAACAAGAAAGAGCCCAGCCTCGGATGACACATCTACAGTGCAACCCCCCTCATCATGCCCAAGGAGTGTGAGTGACATTCAGCCTTGATCCTACACATAGTGGGAGGAAGCCCTGGAGAGGGAACAAGAAAGAGGCCAGCCTCGGATGACACATCTACAGTGCAACCCCTGTACTTAAGACTCAAGGACTATCACAGAGGAGAGAGAAGAAAGATTGTCAAAGCCGGAGGACCAAATTGGTTCTACTAGATAGTATCTTCTAGACACAAAGGAAAAGATGCACCCACAAAATCTCAGTACTATGGGTGCCTAAGCAAGATCTGCACAATGACAGAGTTGACAGTCCACTGTGGACAGGGAAAACGTCACAAGGTCCCACCTCTAGGTGAAGAGCTACAGGCAATCAATGGCTGCTGAGGGAAAGAAAACCAGGTATCCACAGGGACAGCTCGCTGATAGGTTGGTTATCCAATCTGAAGTAGTCAGCTGTGAACATATGTACATGTGCGAGCAACACTGTGGACACAGCAGTGCGTGCGTGTGTGCGCGCGTGCATGTGTGTGTGTGTGTGTGTGTGTGTGTGTGTGTGTGTAATAAGAATCAAAGAAGAGGTCACAATATTGAGATGAGCTGAGAATGTACATGGAAGAGTTAAAGGGCAGAGGGGAGTGCAGATTACGTAAATACAGTATTAATGCAAGAAAATTTTAATAAATAGCAAAAAAAAGGTTCTAGTGTGGGAAGAGGGTCAGTTGAAGAGCACTGGATAAGCCTTGGAGGACACAGAGATGTTAGGGCTGGGTAGTGGCTGACCAAGAGCTGGACAATAAGGGACACTTCAGGAAGATGGGCAGAGAGCATTCAGGCTTGTCAAGAGCTGCTAGGTCATAGGAGATCACAGATCTGCACGGGCTTGAGGACTCTGCTTTTCACTGTTTTCTCTAAAAAAATATTTGTATTTGATATGTATTGAGTATATTGCCTACATGTACGTAAGTACATACATGTCATGCAATGCCCACGGAGGTTAGAAGAGGGTGTCAGATCCCCTGGAACTGGAGTTATGGATGCTTGTTAGCTGCCATATGGATGCTGGGAATCGAACCCCGATCCTCTGCAAAAGCAGTCAGTGCTCTTAACCGCTGAGCCATCTCTCTAGCCCCTGCTTTAAAATGTTTTCTTTTAAAGATTTTTAATTGAATTTTTGTGAAGTTCATACAATATATTTGACATTTAGACTTTTCCCTATCAGCACCCCTTGCCTGATTTCATACATATATGAAATGCCTGTTCATATATATATATATAATAGAGAGAGAGAGAGACAGAGACAGAGAGAGACAGAGACAGAGAGAGGGAGAGAGAGAGTTGAATGTGTGTGTCCCCAACTACCCAAAGCCACATTCTTAAAAGAGGTTGACTCTCCCCTCCCAACAATTACTGGTTGCCAATAGTCCCTCAGCTAGGGTTGGACTTTCTTATCTGCTTGGAAGTCTGTTTGAAGGCAGTGTCCCACTGAAGATGCTGGTACCATTCACAGAGCAAGGGCAGAGGGGTGAGGAACAGGTGAGGGCCTGCATCCCTGTGTGTAGGTATGCGTATGTGAGTGTGTGCATGTATGCTTGATTGGACAACTGAAGACTGCTTCCTGAAGGAAGTGAATTTGAATTCCAACTTGATGACTGGTCCTGACTCCATGAAAGGGGATGTGGGTGAGCTGAGAACATTCCAGGAAAGTCAGCGTCATGGAGTGGAAACAGGGGACTCTCAAAGCCCTGGATGCTGCTGTTTCCTCTCGGCCTTGTCACACACCATGTGCATCTTGAGGCTTAGGAATCACAGGGCATGTTCCCAGCTTCCCTGCCCAGCCTGCTTCCCTCTTCCAGACTCTTCTGGAACTGTCTCTGCTACAGGAAGGAATCTGCCTCTGCCCCCTCTGTGGCATCTACACTAGCCAAGGTTTCCTCACCAAAGTCATAGTGTCAGACAGTCTGGTCCTGTAAAGGTGTTCTGGCCAGCACCTGTGTTCTGTGGTCCAAGGAGCACATTGGATATTGGCAGTCCCTTTTATTAACTGGCCACCACTCCCAGAAGGCCAGTCAGGTTAGTCTGGCCCATTCCTTGCAATGCCAGACAAATCTGAGCTCTGTAGCCCTGACTGTGCCCTGGTGACAAGTACCAACATCTCTGAGATGAAATCTGCTCTGTGGCCAGGTGAGCCCAGAGCAGCAGCAGGACAGCTCAGGAGGTGCCTGAAGGAAGGCATTTCTGTGCAACTCCCTGAGACTCTATGTGTGTCTGTGTGTATGAAAGACAGACACAGACAGAGACAGAGAAAAGGGAGATGGAGGACAATGTGTGCGATTTACATTTCCTTTTAGAGTGTGTGTATGTGGATTTAAACCCAGGCACACTTCTCGGAATGACAGACACCTGGGAGTGGTTATCACTATGTGCCCTCTTTCTGCATACTAAGCAGAGTTCTCGTGTGTGTATGTGGATTTAAACCCAGGCACACTTCTCGGAATGACAGACACCGGGGAGTGGTTATCAGGGGTTGGACACAGAGGTAAAGCACAGACTTTGCTATATGCTTGTGTCTGGTAGAATACATTAGGCATGGGAGGAGATTTATTTCGGGAATTGGATCAAGGAACAAAACCCAGGTGTGCTGGAAACACTTTGGGGGCCAGGGCAGCTCCCTTTGTGGTCTACATTCAAACAGCCTCCAGGCTTGGACAGCTCCTGGGCGTGGGCCGGACTTTCTCAGCCATATTAGTTAGTCCAAGCTGTGAGCCCTCAACTGATGGTGTTCAGCTTTTCAGCAGGGTCTCCCCTTCTCTAGGCCCCAGAAGGCAGGTAGAGGAAGCAGTCAGGACACAAGAACTTACAGGGTTTCCAGCTGCTCCAGGAGCCCCAACAGCACCATCTTGTCCCTTGGCACCCTGTACAAGAAACAAAAGGAGAGATCTTCACAACCCTGCCACAGAGAGCTTCACAACCCTGCCCTCCAGACTTTGGCAGCAAAGTCTCAGACACACCCAATCAGAAGTAGGTGACCAAAACAGAAGGGTGGGGAGCGGGTTCTAATGGGTGCAGAAAGCCATCATTCGATGAGGCTCCACGGCAGCTTAAAACCCCTAGTAGTATGTTTATTATGTATATAAGGTAAAGAGGGGCAGGCATCCAGTGACTTCTGGGGTTTTAGACTACCACCAGGCTCTTTCAAACTACAGAGTGACCCCCCTCCCCCCAACAACCAGGAAAGATCCAGAGAAGCAGCTGGAATCAGCCCAGGAAAATAAGACAATTAAAAGGCACTCAGTGTCATCCAAACCAAGCCTGCCCATCGGAGGCTGGGGAGGGGAAGTCAGCTCCCTGCATCTGAAAAGGCACTGGATGCCAGGAGCAGGCCTGCTTGCTGGCCACTGCTCTCCAGAGCACTTCTAAGGGAGGTCTCCCCAGCCAGCCCTTCATCAGCAGGACAGAACAATCGGAGCTCCAGAATCAGACTCCGGTGGTTGCAATTGAGGGCACTATGCAAGGTTTTGGGACCTGGGATTTGGGGGTATTCTGAAGGTCCCTGCAGCACCTTTCTCCAAAGACCCCCTAGTGAGAGCTCACAAAATGCCAGATGAGAAGGTCAGTGGGGCAGGGTGGAGGGAAGAAGGGAGGAACAGGGACATCGTGGTCCAGGACCCAACAAACGAAGCAAGGGCTCTCTTACCGGAGGTCCGGTGGGTCCCTGGGGGCCTGATTCTCCAGGACGGCCCCGTGGTCCCTGTAATGAAGCACTAGGTCCATGAACTAGCTCAGCATGCTAGTTATGGGCAGATGGGCTCGGTGAGGGAACGTGCAATGGGTGTGATCTGAGACCCACAGAGGCCATGGCATCAAAGTCCCGAGGACTAAAACGGGTTGCAATCACATTACTTCATTCCCCGGGTACATAGAGGGGCCAGGAGGGTTCGGACCTGCAGCTGGCCAGGCTATAGGTGCCTGGTCTTCAGGAAGCTTGAGGAATGGGAGCCATGTCTGGGTTGTGGGCACTCACCAGGTCCCCAGGCACGCCGGGATCACCCTTTTCTCCTTTCTGGCCCTGCTCTCCCTGTCGGTTAGAAGCACAGGGGCAGGTGACTTGAAAGCCAACCACTCCCCTCTTGCCGCACACCGCCCGCCCCTCAGCACTGGCACGATGGTCACCTGCAGTCCTATGGTGATCACACCCAAACCCACTCCTGATGCCTGGGCTTGAGGCTCTCCTCTCTTACTTCCCCAGGACTCAAACTGATCCTGATTTACTGCTCAGATCTAAGAGTGGGAATCTCTTCTTTGGGGAAGCAGAACCCCAAACTGGTCACATCCTCCTGTTAGGTGACCTCAGAGTCCAGTGTTTCCTCCATGGTACCCGCTAAAATTTCAGCTCTACATTTTTGTGGATTGACCCTTGTCCTGTCCCACTTAAGGCAACAGAGGACAGATCATCAGTGGATAATAATGTGGAGGAAGGTCTTTCAAGGTCAGTCTCTTTCTTGATTGAGATGTAGGGAGAGAGCTTTACTAAGGGGACTCAGCAAAGGACAGAAAGGACTCTTGAAGGACAGAAAATAGAGTGAAACTTTGTCTTGAATGCAGAATGGAGCCTCCTACAGGTGGGATGTTTGCAAGAAAAGGTTTGGAGAGCAGAAGATCTGGGTGGAAGACAATGAAACGCACCCCAAAGCACTGTAAGGTCCCCAGAACCGTGCTGAGCCCTAGAATGGCAGATCCGAATTTTGCTGAACTGGGAGGACAGGCTGGAGAGGAAGAGTCCAGGCAGGCCCAGCATGAACTGTGTACACTTGAGGGAGTCAAGCCACTCCCTTGATGCTCCAGGTACCACACCTGAGGTTCCCAACACTGCTCCCAGGAATCTTGTTGGACCATTAAGGGGTTTCATCCCAGGGGGAAGAGAGAGATAAGACTGAGCTGGAGGTACAACGAGGGCAGACTTGAAACGCTTCAGGACAGAGGGGACGGATGGGGATGGTAGGAAGAGCCTGAAGTGTAGATGTGTGCAGATTGGCTTAAAGTCTAAGCTCTTAATCATTACAAAAAGAGCCTTGGGAAGATTAGTTGCCCATGAAGTCTTTTGTTACCTATCTACAACATGAACAGATCCTCTATATCACACAGAGCGGGGTTCACTGATACAGAGGTCTGAGAGAGGAGCCTCCAAAGAGACCTGCTGAGAGTGTGGAGCATTTGTAGGGAGCAGATAACAACACACTGCTTCCCAGAGAGCTGTGGTTGCTAGCGACTCTTCAAGGCACAGCACCCACGGCTAGTGTCCAGAAGGCACTGTGCTGCACTCCACAGAGAGGCCCCAGGGAAAGTAGGATGAGCCTTTGCCTTCAGTGTCGATGGGAGCCTCCCACAGGCAGGGAGTTTGCAAGCTAAGGCTGTGGATAGCAGATGTGTATGTATCCTAAAACAGATTCCAATGTCTCCATAAGAGAACCTTTACATGGCAGAGCAGCCAGCCCAGAAGGGTGCTGCCCATTGACGTCTCTCACACTGCATTCTCTACCGGAGTACAGGCAGGCCTGGGAGAGCTTGCCACAGCTGCTGCAGCCTGTCCTCCCGTCCCAGCCTCTCGTGGACACCCCAGCTGACACCTGCAAAGTGTCTCACAGTGCCCAGCACATCCAGCAGGGTAGGGAAGTGCCCGTTTATTCCTTCTCCTTAAAATCTCCATGGCTCAGAAGGAGGCATGTCTTTCCGCAATCACCAGAGCCAACAATCCTATAATTTCCTGCATGCTTCCTTCCTAAAATAGTTCCCACAGTGGAGTTGAAACACTGTGTGGCCCTCTAGTTCCTGGCAGTACAATCCACAAAGAAGGGCTCAGGGACTATTTTCAGGCCACGCAGGGGGATGCTGCCAACACAGGGGATGGGACTAAGGCATCAAGTAGGCAAGCGGGGGCCCCTGTGGGTGTTCAGGGGAGGCCAAAAGAAGAGTCCAAGGGAAGAAACGCCCCACATGCTTGCCCCAGTTCCAGGGAGCCGGGAGGCAGCTCCTTGCTGCAGGGCACAGAGTGGGTGCTCTTTCAGTAGGTGCTGAATGTTTGAGCATGGCTGGCTCCTCCACCAGGTTCCAGATAACAGCAGCCAAACACCACCACTGGGACCCTGAACCCTCCCCAAGGCTCCAGGTACCGCCAGGGTAAGGAGGGAATGAGGATGCCCCAGATGTGCCTGCTGCTAAGCCCTGCCCTCTAACTAGCCCTCCCTCAAATTCCTCTTTAAGGAAAATCTGAGGTTTAGCTACCTGTCCACCTTTTCTCAGCTAGCAAATGCTTGATCTCACCAATCTGACATAGCGAGACTCTGCAGATCCACACATCATCTAACAGCCCCTGTTCTCTTCCCCACAAACCACCATCACCAGACCACAGACCCTCTCAGGAGCCTCCTTTGGCCAGGGGGGGAAGCAGAGGAAGCCAGGCTTTTATCTCCATTTTCTTAATTATGCAGCAAACTTGACTGGCCCTTTAATTCAGCTTCCTGCTCTGCAGGGACCCCTAGGAACACACCTGAGAAGGGTAGGGAGAAGTCACACACAATAGCACTTTCCAAATTCATCGGTACAAATATGGTTGTCATGACAACGAGCTAGTCCTAAAGACAAGCATGCAATGGCCTATGATGTGAAATTCTTCGTTTTTCTTTAGACACAGTTTCCTTGCCTTGGTTCTATGAGTTGTTTCCTGGTTTCCTCAAGTTGCACATCCTGAAAGAACGATGCCTCACTGAGGTTCAAAGGGGAAGCCATGCAGCACACATCCACAATGTCCTCTCCCAGCCTCATGTGCCTGCTCAGGGAAATAGTCTAGAAATTGTCTCTATGGAGTGACTGCAGGCTAGTTTTAAACCCATGGGCGCTCAGGTGTACCTGAGGGAAAAACTGGAAGGTCTAAGGGCAGAGGTACCATAAATAGACAGCAAAAGTGTGCTAGGAGGCAGGCAGTGACATGTGCAATCTGCCTCTCTGTGGGAGGAGATGAGCCTTGAAACACAGTGACAGACAGGATGTCACTCCAGCCAGCCACTACAGCTGACGACATCTCCTGACACCTTCTGAAATCCAGGCTGCTCAGACATGGCCGTCCTGCAGTTCCTCCTCCCTGACATACATCCAAAGAGTAATATCCTTCCTTCTCTGATGAGACTTCAGCCCCAACTCTGTTCCTCCCTTTCCTCCTTTGGCCTTTGAAGTATTATTAAGGATGGGGACCATACTGGTCAGACTGTTCCAACTCCAGTCTCTCACCTACGCCATGTCAGGAAGTGCAGGCCATATCCTAATGTCAGAAGGACCACAAGAGAAGGGAAGAGCCAGGTGTGATGACTCGTGCCTTTGATGCCAGAACTCGGGAGGAGAGACAGGGAAAGTTCTGTGAGGGAAAAGCCAGCCTGGTCTATCTAGTGAGTTTTAGGCCAGCCAGTGATATACAGTGAAACCCTGTTGAAGAAAGAAGAGGAGGAGGAGGGAAGAGGAAGCAGCACAGAAGAAACATTTCCTGTCCCCAGGCTGCCCGCAACATAAAGACATTCTGAAGATACTTTCAGAAGAACCATTTGTGGAGGGAGGGCCGGGGTCCCAGGAGGCTGTGATGGTGATTTCCATCTTTTTGCTAAGTGTCTCGGTGTCTTCAGCAAACCACTGAAGCCCCTCGTCTGTCACGCCCCCAGGATGCAGAGTCGGGCTGAAGTCTCAACTACCCCCCAGCAGCCTGCCTCTGAGCTTCAGGGAACTGAGGGGTTGAAGCGTTCCTACCACCTCTGGTCTCCCTCGCTGCCAATATCTGCAGAACATGCCTTCTTCCAACTCTTCACTGTCCCGGCAGCTCAAATATTTCTAGTCTCAAAAACCCAGCAGCTCCCAGGACGGAACTCTATCCAAACAGACCGTGGACTTTGCTTTTGACCACTGAATAGTGACCCTAGAGTGTAAGTCAGGCATGAGAGCTACTTTCTTGCAAGAAGTTGTCCCATTTGTTGCCAGGACAAATTCCAGCCCTGATGCTCAGCTAACCGGATTGGAAGGCTGAGTGAAACCAGCCCAAGCCCCAACTCTCCTGCACTATCACCAGATGAGCCGAGGCTACCAGGCTGCACCCTGCAGCATTGCCACTTACCAGTATCCTTGCGTGTGGTGTGAACAGGGATGGCTGGAAAGAACACCACCCAAGTTAGAAAGTTAGCAGTCGAAGGCGCCAACCATTGCATTCAAACACCCTGTTGCCTCTGAGGCATCAGTCAGACCAAAGAACATAGCCCTAAGATGTCTTTTTGTATTTTCTGTAGTTTTCTGCTTGTTTTCTGACTTTGAGATAGTACCTCATGTAGTCTAAGTTGGCTTCAGACTTAGTATACAGCCAAGGGTGGCCACAAACTAGTGATTCTTCTGCCTATAACTTCCAAGTGCTGGCATTACATGTATACCCACCATGTGTGTCTTCCCATATAACTTTTTTATAATGAGTTTTTTTCCATTTGAATCATCTTTCTTTAAAATCAGTGTGTGTGCTTTCACTAAGGTAGGAAGGTGGGGTAGTTAGGATTAAGTGTCCTGAAGTCCATGGCCTGATCTTAAACGCTCTGTAACTCTGGGTATCTTTGCGAGCTTCTCACCCCCTATCAGTAAGAAGGGGATGAAACACTGTCCCCTGAGACGTGTCAGGAAGCCAAAGTGGAATGTTCCCTGCACAGAACTGGGGGACTGCCTGCCCTGGGCTTTGAATTCAGGTCTCAGTTTCCTGTTCCAGTGTTATCGCCTGCCCTGAGCTAGCCAGGGACAGAGGTGTCGAGGAGGCTGGTGTGAGGGGCTCAGCTGCTGGCTCATGGAGAGCCCAGCTTGTCAGAGGGACCCCCATGGGGCTGGTCCTAAAACACAACAGATTCAAGATGAAAAAGAAAATAGCTTCTACTTTCCCTTCAAGCCGCCAGGCCCAGGCTCTTCCTCACTAACCCACTGTTTCATTTCAGCACATTTTAGACCCCATGTTAATGTTCCCACACAATTATAAAAGACATAGAAATATATAATTTTGTACATGAAGCA